TATTAGTCCTGGGCCACATCTGTTTCTTGTATACTTATTTAAATATCTCACAACCATCAAATCAACTAGTAGATTATTTAAATGGAGGAAAGATATTGAATTTTAACATAATCATCAGCTTCTTGAAAAAAGAAACCTCTGTTCAACAACTGATTTACATTCAGGTCCAAGAAGAAGAAAAATAGCTTTTTTTTAAAAGGGGAATGATATTTAATTAACTATTGATTTCTTCTCAATTATTCAAGGCAAGCAATTATCGATATTGATGGAGCAGATATTTCCCTACCTCTAGTGCCCAAATGAAAGGAAATATCCCATTCAGCGTCTGCTGCCTGGAACAAGAATCTTTGACTTTAAATGGGAAAAGTTATTTGGATCTGTTTATTCCAAGTTGCCCCAATTAAAAAGATATTTCTTGAAGTGTAAGCAAAACAAAATCCTGGGAACCTACCTATGCTTTCCAAATTAACAGCAAACAAAAAAATGAGGGCTTTTGTCAGTTTTGACCATGAGGCTAACCACACTACGCTTGTGAACTTTGCTTCACAGCTACAGATCTTGACATTTTTTAACAATGACTCATAAAATACTATAATTTGGGTCTAATATTCATGATTTCTAAGCCACCCAATGAGAGGTAGCTTATATAATCATTAGAATCCATGGAACACTGCCCTGTATATCAATATTTTGAGACTGAAGGATTTAGTAGGACTTAATAGTCACTTCTGACATTTACAAATAGCAAGTGTGGATACATTTGAAATTTATACCAATACACTATGCAACTGTGTCAGAGGTCACCAAGGATATGTTGAGGAATGCGGTAAAACGGGGCCCTATTTAGGGCACTTTGTTATTAACTCTGTGGGTATCCACCAGCATTTTTTCTCAGCTCATTTGTGCACAAACTATTAGCATGTTTGTGTGTAAGAAGCTTCTTTTGAAGGTGACATAACTATTGCATGTGATTAATGGACAAGGCCATATTCTCCATTGAGTTATTAGCTGGCAAGGGGAGGTTTTTTTTTTAAAAATATTTTGCACTTAATAGTAATATTAAGTGTGTGTATGAGTGTGTGTGTGTGTGTGTGTGTGTGTTTGTGTGTGTGTGTTTAATTCATGTAGCACCCCTGGGGAAATTTGACCATGACATTTTAAAAAAATGAAAAATGTTATCCTTTATAAAAAGCTACTTTTTCTGCTCTGCCCTACCCCGCTCCCATTCCACAGTGGTTCTATATGTTAAGTGCTCAGGCAGCATATGTTGCTGGGAAGTGTTCTTGGCTCTCTTACTCTTTGTTGTCTTAATTTCCCTGGGTTCTATTTAATATTCTGCTAAATCAGTGAAACCTTGATTATCTAAAAGAATAGGAGGAGACACAGAATTAATGAGGATAACCAGAATTTTGAAGAAATAAGAAATTATTAGAGGTGAAAGTTACATGACAGGGGCTGCGAGTGAATTTTAATCTCTGGAATTGCTTCTCTGGATTTATTCAAAGTGATTCTATTAATTGATGGACATAATGAAATTTCGATAATCAGGGTTTCACCATTGCACTTATTACTCTTCCCAGAAATCAAGGTAACCTTGGGCTCTACTTCCCATATTTACAAAGTGATAAAAATCCTAATAGGCTTCAGGGATAAATGTGACTGCTCTTCCTCACACTCCTCCCACGCAACGAGCTTTCTCTCTTTCCATCTGGCTGTCACCTGCCTGAAACATGCTACTTTCCCCACGTCCCAACCCTCCATCCCATGCTTCCCTGTGGCCTCTGTCTTCATGCATGCAGTGGCTGGAATCAGTGCAGAGAGAAGGTCCCACCCCTTAGCGATTCTTGGTCATTTTAGCAATACTGCTTTGCATTTTAAATACCATTCATCTGGCTTCAAAGGTCTGCATTCTCGTATCAGGCACTTGTCCTTTAAAAACCCAGGAGGTCACAACAGGTCTCAGTTCCACGAAGAGAAGTTACTGACTAACCAGGAGTATTGCATTACTTTGTATTTGATAGGCTGAAATGGACAATGGTAATATCCAAGATTACAGAAGGAAAAAAATCTATATGAAAAGGACTAACATGATAAAAACAAAGGCAGCAAACTACATTTGTTTGGAAATCGGAGTCACATGCTTAGTTTGGGGCGGGGAGGGGGGAGACAAGATCGATAGAGATTTTTTAAAAGCTGAAAACATGATGTACCAGATGAACTTAAATTGATTCTGCTTCTCCTCCCCGCGCCCCTCGCCCACTCTCCCCCTCACTCTGCAGCGAATGTCTGCGACAACGAGCTCCTGCACTGCCAGAACGGAGGGACGTGCCACAACAACGTGCGCTGCCTGTGCCCCGCCGCGTACACGGGCATCCTGTGCGAGAAGCTGCGCTGCGAGGAGGCGGGCAGCTGCGGCTCCGACTCGGGCCAGGGGGCGCCCCCGCGGGGCTCCCCGGCCCTGCTGCTGCTGCTGCTGCTGCTGCTGCTGCTGACCGCGCTGCTGGGGACAGCCAGCCCCCTGGAGTTCTAGGCGTCGCATCCAGCCGCCCGATGGGCCTGTGCCGTGGGGAAGCAGACACAACCCAAGCATTTGCTACTAACACAGGAAACACACACCCAGACGCCCCCACTCAAACAGCGAACAAAGAAGGCCTAACTGAACTAAGCCATATTTATCAGCCGTGGACAGCACATCCGAGTCAAGACTGTTATTTTCTGACTCCAGAGGAGTTGGCAGCTGTTGATACTATCACTGCACATCACGTTGCCAGCTGCAGAGCTTATTGTGGATTGGAAAGGCTGCGACAGCCCCCCAAACAGGAAAGACAGAAAACAAACAAGTCAAACCAACCTAAAAACATCGGCTACTCTGAGGCGGTGCACCCTAGCGCCACTCTGCCCAGTGTGTGGACCAACCAAATAGCATTCTTTGCTGTCAGGTACATTGTGGGTATAAGGAAATCTGCGACAAGCTGCCATATTGGCCTGCTTCAGTCCCTGAATCCCTTCCAACCTGTGCTTTAGTGAACGTTGCTCTGTAACCCTGTTGGTTGAAAGATTTCTTTGTCTGATGTTAGTGATGCACACGTGTAACAGCCCCCTCCAAAAGTGCAAGCCAGTCATACCCCTGTATATCTTAGCAGCACTGAGTCATCCCGGTGCAAGCACACACCCACTATACAAGAGTGGCTACAGGAAAAAAGAAAGTGTATCTATCCTTTTGTATTCAAATGAAGTTATTTTTCTTGAAATACTGTAATATGTAGATTTTTTGTATTATTGCCAATTTGTGTTACCAGACAATCTGTTATTGTATCTAACTTCGAATCAGCAAAGACTGACATTTTATTTTGTCCTCTTTCGTTCTGTTTTGTTTCATTGTGCAGAGATTTCTCTGTAAGGGCAACGAACGTGCTGGCATCAAAGAATATCAGTTTACATATATAACAAGTGTAATAAGATTCCACCAAAGGACATTCTAAATGTTTTCTTGTTGCTTTAACACTGGAAGATTTAAAGAATAAAAATTCCTGCATAAACGATTTCAGGAATTTGTATTGCAATTTCTTAAGATGAAAGGAGCAGCCACCAAGCAGTCTCACACTCACTTTACTGATTTCTGTGTGGACTGAACACATTCAGCTGATGAATTTAGTATCCAGGAAGATGGATTGATGTTCACTAGCTTGGACAACTTCTGCAAAATATAGAGACTATTTCCACTTGGGAAAAAATATAACAGCAAAAAAAAAAAAAAAAAATCTAAGTGATTGCCAAGATTATGCCAAAGCCTGTTGGCAAAGTACTAAGAGACTTTTATTTTTAAGTCATGCTATATTCACAGATTGACGGTGATCATGTGACTCTAGGGATGCTGATCTACGTATCTTTCCAAATACAGTGTTTACATGGAGTATCATAAGAGGCAACCTGAGGAATCAGGAAAGTAGCAGAGAAATTGAGTGATTAGCAGTTTGACTTTGAATATATTCAGACTAAGTATTTAGAGAAAATATCAAAATATATAGCAGCAAGTAGACATAACTGCCGTTCCTGAGAATAAAGTTTGTTTTAAGTACTGCCCAAGGTGTAATAAATTCTTGTTTCTCTGCCTTTTATTAGGCCAATTACTGTGCAAATACAGCAAGGGGTGGCAGGTGGGGAGAACCACTGCGAACTTTCAAAGAGGCTAAAACAGCGTGTATTTCATTCCCAGCACACTGTTGTCCTACAGGTTACGAATGTGTTAGCAGCAACATCTTCTGGAATCAAAAACAATTATCAGCCCAAGCCAGAGTCTTAAGGACAATGAAGTCCTACATGGCTTGACAGAGCAATAACCTATGATAGTGTTAGATCGGAAGCCTAGTTCCAGTCTGAATTCTTCACCCTGCCGCCACTCCTTGCTGAAACAGGGCGGGGAGAAAATGTCTCCTGATAAATAACTTGGGTAAAAACTAGACAAAGGAACAGCATGTCTTATTGGTTTTGTTCCCAGAAAAGCCAATTCAAAGAAAGCAATAAAAGGTAAACAGGTAATGCCTGCGCTGCCTGCCACCCCACGTCTAAGTCGATTGAACGTTTGTTATTCAAACCAACAGTCTCTTTTGATGTAAGAAATAAGAAAAGATGGAAATAAATTAGAGCTTTGGCTTAGTGCCATACTGGCCAACCAGAAATTGGAGATTTATATTAGAAGCATAAACAGAAAATTATATTTCAGGCTCAGCAAAGAATACATATGAAAATTCTGATAACATACAGAGTTTGAGATTATTTATAATGAGGTGGATTTCTAATACTGAAATTGGAATTTAAGTTGTCTTATAGTTTATTAGCACAAACCAAAGGCGGACTGTGTTATTTCTGGCAACGATGCACTTTATCATTACCGACTCATGGCTTTGTCACAATGCTCAGGAATCAGACACTGCACCTTTCAATATGTGAGGTTCCAAAAGCTAATTCTAAAATTTAATGAAGGCTTGATCTAAATCAAGTCATCTGCATTTTATCTTTATGAGGCTATAAGAATCTAAATTGATGAGGAATATCTTGCATTCAGTGTATTTAGATATAGTTTTCTGAATTTCCTGAAGTAATGTGATCTGCTTTTAATAAAAATTCACTTTTAGGTATACAACAAGTGGAAATGAAATGTTCTTTTTAATCTGGATTCTGAAGTTCTTCTAAAGGGCCTGTTCCTTTGAAGAAATCCCACCTCAGTGGACTTTATTGGCCTGCCGTTTTCTAGCCTTCTTGTAAAGCTGGTGTTGTCTGCAATCCTGTCCTAAGAACAGGATCGGGGTGAAAAGTGGGTACTGAGTTTTTCACACAATTGAGGTCCCAATTCTTGCTCTGTTTCTCCTGGGATATATCTCTTAAGGTAGGTTAATATAGTCTTGCATATGAATTAATCTATCAACTTTCCCACAGTTGATTCCTTCCATCAACACTACTGATGAGAATAAAATTTCAAACAATGGGACAAAGGTTCAGCTGTATAAACAGTGTTCCTGTTTATTGGAAAGCAATGAACCTTCCCTGCCATGCTGTGGGAATGATTCATTTCTGACACTTTATACAGCCTAGAGGAAGCACTTTGATACAGCGAGGAGGGACCCTTGCTTAGAGTGGCCCACGACCTTCTGCCAGCTTTGTCCCAGTGTTCAGGAACCTAGAGCCCCCTACTCAGAGCCCCCCGCCCCCACACACACACTTTCAGAGCACATGTGGGCCTCATCTGGGATCCAAACTCCTGAAAGGAGGCAGCATCATGAGTGAACATTCCTGGACACAGGTATGGCAAGGGGCGCATATGTGTGGGTGGATTAGTGCCTGAGGCCTGCAGTGTTCACTGGGGAGTTCACACACAAGCTAGGAGAGACCCTTTAGAGTAGAAACCAGAGCTCAGGGTGGCGTGAGGAATGGGAGGGAGATGGACCAGGGCTACATCAGGGCCAGACTCTGGCTTCCGATGGTTATGAAAGCATAGGTGTCAAAGTAGCAGGATGGAACATTTTATTTACCACTTTGTTAGCTTGATGTATAAATTTTAAATATTTAGAAAAATGGCATGTGGGCCTCTGATGGCACTTTTGCCCTGAGCCTTGCAAACGTTTGGGGTGGATATGCCTGTGGTACCCTAAGTCAAAACCCTAAGCTGGCACAAATCACTCATCCAGGGAACATAAAGACAGGTGCGGGTTGGAAGAAGGCATCTGCTCCACAGTCCAGCTGCCCGGAGAGTTCATGTACCACTTTGCCCTTGTACCTGTGGCCTCACTGAAAGTCTGGGTGAATTGGGGGCAGCAGTGAGGAAATCCTGAAGTCAAATCTTTTGTCCCATCTCCTTCACCCTCCACCGTCAATCATCCAGTATTATTGGGCTGTAAAACCTCGGTATTCTGAAATGGGATGCTCTATATTATGTGGAAAATGGGTTGTTGTACTTCACCTGTTGTTAAATACTAAATAAAATACCTATTTAACAGTTTCTCTGCTCACAGGATTGAACAGGATATGTGGAAACTGTGAACTGAGTGTTCTATGTATTTGTTTTGTATGCAGCTCTGTGTGTATTTATGATCTGGTGCAATTTGAAGCTTCAGCTTTTGGAACCTGAACTAGAATTCTTTACCTACCATTTGTACCCCCAGCCTTAGTTGACAAGGATGGTAATAGTGGCAGCAGAGATTAAGCTGCATCTTAGAATAGTAAAACTCTAGGTTGTTTTTTTGTTTGTTTGTTTTGTTTTGTTTTTTTATGAAATCCAATTGGATAGCCTTAATAATGTATAGTAATGAAAAATATAGATACCAGACCACCCCAAGGTTTTGATCCAAGTATCTGGCTATGGACAACTCTTTCTTTGCTTCAGGAAATCAGGACTAGAGTCTAATCAATTTTTATTTCTAAGAAATATCAAATGTTCATCTGACATAAGTATTCTGACAGTTCTAAACTATGTCCATATAGAATGACTTTTTACTTTTAACTATATTTTTATTTTCTTACATTAAAAGTAACTTTTTCTTTTAGTTACTTAAAACAGATGCCAACAAATCCCCAGCATAAACTGCACATAAACATAATATGATGTCAGAAAGAGTTAAGAATGCCAACTATCATATTTTGAATTTTCGCCAACAATCCTGGGAACATAGAGAATTTTTACTCTTCACAACACCTGGTAAGGTGTGACTCACATATTGCCATCTTCATTTTGTATCTGAAGAATCAAATAACTAAGAAACAGACATATTCGTTGTATAAAACATATTATTGCATTTAACTAGAACTGAGAAAATAGCATCCATGAAAAACTTATATTAAGATTGAGTAAAATGCAATTACTTGAGATTATTATGGCAGAAAAATTCTGCTCCTAATACTTTTTTAAAGTAGGTCCTGAAACAAATCTAGCAAAAACACTTAAATGATTTTAAGGGGTGTTGTTTAGATTTAAATAGCTGAGCATTTAATAAATGCTGAAATCCCCCCCCCGCCTTTTCCCAGTACCCAAAAGCTGTTTTTAATTGACAGATGAATTAAAATGGAGTAGTAACATTTAAAATTATGTGATGTTTTTATTAACCTGAAATGATAGCTGGTAAAATGGGCCATTATTCTGCAAAGCCTAATTATGTTAACACTAAAGATTTAGCTAGACTGGCTGAGGCAAACTGCAGAGGATCGGAAGTAAAAATAATCCCCATTTTCTTAGTTCCATTTTTTCAGAGGCATCCCTTTTAACTATTATTTAATTAGTGAACTATGAATTCTACGGGGAAAAAAAACCAACTGGAAAGAGAAAAAATAATTACTACCCTCCTACATCTGTCTGAATAGATTCTGAAATTCCTGCATTGCAAGAATGTGTCAAGTTGCGTTAACGACATAATGTACAACGGTTGTATCCTCCAGCAGCCCTGATAGTACCACATTACAACTTTGCTCTTACAACCGGCAGTCATTTTAATCTAATAAAAGAAGGAAAATGGCACAAAATCACACACCTGAAGTCCTGTTAAGAATAGGTGATTCTTTTTTGCCCCGGGCAGGCAAGAACATAATGTCATTTTTGTTCGTTTGTGTTTGCGCTCTGAAGGAGGGCTTCTCCTGTTGGGGAACGGTTTTCCCTCTGCCAGTGTGAAACGCTGCAAGAAAACACTCTCCAAGGAAATAGCATTTTGCTATTTACCAGTCCTGACTCCCCCATGAAGCCCTGAGTAATTGTTTTGGCTTTCATGGTGTGATAAACACCTAGAGGCAAAGAGATTAGTGCCATCGGTCTCCATCTCTTTTTCTCTCCCTTTGGAAAGAAAAAGGGGAGGGGGGATGTCCAAATATAGTATGACAACATTTACAAGAATCTTTCAGTGGGTTGATGCTTAATTATGAAGACCCCAGCGAAATACTCGGTTTATTAAATTAATAGTGTGACAAGTATTGGAGCAGTTTTACAGCCACTTAAAGTCATGTTTACATCCTGTGTAATTACAATTCATAACTGGGGAAGCCATCAAATCTAAATGTATTCT